CAGAATTTTTCTTTGTCCCACGCTCGTGTCATGTTGATTAATTCACCTTCACATAAATTCACTTCCTTCAAATTTGCAGGGTGATTTTGACTGCTACAAGCAGTACATGTAGCATACACACTTAAAGCATACATGTAGCAAGATCCCACAAAAACCATCCCACAAGAATGGTTTAAATTTATATAATAGGACTCAAAAAATGATGCCTAAGTTTTTGGAATATAGTTGAATAGGAAGAAGAGAAAATGGATTGTGTATATAATCAGGGGCAGTTATAGGGGGTTGGATTGGGTGGCTAGCCACCCCCCTTTTGGAGAAGTCAAAATAGAAAAATTGTAGAAGATTATGAATATTATCCCAGAAATAAAGGCAAACACTCTGGACAGTCACCTCGTTGTAATTTTTCTGGTGTAACAGTCCTCAATTTGGTTCCAGTCCCTAAATTGCAACATTTTGTTGTAGGCATGCACCATTGATTCCGTAGCCCCAAGGTACCAGCCCCCCCCTCCTCCTCCTCCTCCTCCTTGGAAAACTCCTGGATCTGTCCCTGGTATTATAATATTATTATTATGGGCAACATTTGAGCTGTAGATTAGATTCTCCAAACTTGGTTGGGATTCTTTTAAATTTAAATGTCTTAATATAAAGTTAACATAGTATTTTGCTGTTTTTTTTCTGCCCTTGCTGGACTTTGAAAAATATATCTCATATTCTTAAGTTTGTGCAATGTATATTATTAAACTCATACTGATATCCATGCATACCAGTAATATTATATCATTGAATGAGGTTTATGTGTATTCATATATTGTATAAAGATACCACATGACGTATGCTTTGCTCAATTCCCTTTAGGAAGCATGCTGCATTGGAATGCAGGCTGCGATCAATATGGATGACAGCATCATAACGGCATATCGTTGCCATGGCTGGACCTACATTAGAGGAGTCTCAGTCAAAGAGATCCTTTGTGAATTAGCAGGTTAGAACCTGACCCCATGTTATTGAATATTGGCTTAAATTTGAATTCAGACCCATGAAGATGAAAATTGCTTAGAACTGGATTACATTGAAGTCAAAATGGTGCTTTGGAGTTCTTTCCATCTTCTGTGTTTAAGTCACACATCACAGGGATACAGTCGAACCTCTCGACAGTGGCCACCTCAAGAACAGAGGAAAGTGGCCATTGTACATGTAGTGAGGTGGCCATTATGGGGAGGTATAGGTGTAATGTGACACCTGTTTTATTTCTCGTGTTGCAATATTATTTATTATTCTTTTAAAAAAATACTTATTATTAGTATTTAAATACTCAGAACACAATCAAAATGTGTCAATAAATCAGAAACAGAGACCAACCAGTACAGATCAAGTTTTGTTACCTTTTACAATAAAAAAATGTCAGTCCTTGATTAACTGCCAGGCTTTGTCAAGAGATTGTTTTCACTTGGTAGATGGGAACACTTTAGCACCTGTTACTGTTGTGAAGAGGTGGCCATTGTAGAAAGGTGGTCCTTGTGGAGAGATGTCTGTTAGTAGAGGTCCAACTGTATGAACAAGAACCAGCTACTGGCTATGGTTTACATGTAATTTCACCAGCTGAAAGATTATAATAACTAATAATTGACTGAAACATCTCTTGTCTAGAAAACAAAGACTGACTTACTTCAAAGGTGCAAGGGTTAATGAGCCAGCTAGTGTTGTCTTTATTCCAAGCTGCATCCATGACATTACTTTACAGCAGTGAAGAACATTTATGAGCCAAATTCAAGTAATTTTCCAAAAACAACACCTTATCTCAGTTGTCTGTTGAACCATCAAGTTATAAATCACAATAATATTCTTTTAAGAGATGACTGTTTCAGCTGTTTTGACTGTTACCCAAAGTGCAGTTATCTTGTTGATCAACCTACACTGTACTAAATTTAGATTTAAATGTTAATGCCACTTTAAGTTGTATTTCAATTTTTTGATGTATAGTGTTACTTTGTGTAGTGACAACAAGTATTTACATCACTGTTTAACACCTGAATACTTTTCTTCTAAAGGTCGCAAGACTGGCTGTTCTAAGGGTAAGGGAGGTTCTATGCACATGTATGGCCATGAATATTATGGCGGAAATGGAATTGTTGGAGCTCAGGTGAGTCTGCCAGTTATCTACCAGTTCATTACTAGTTAACATTTCATTATTCATTTCTTTGCTTTTAATTAATAGTATTATAATACACTCTCTCTCAGGTTCCATTAGGTGCAGGAATCGCCCTTGCTCACCAATACAGAGGCAATGGACAAATATCTGTTACCCTTTATGGGGATGGAGCCGCTAACCAAGGGCAGGTAAGAAACTGCACACACCAACTGTTATATTGGTTGGTGTTGTAGCCTAATGGTTAGTGCAGTGGCCTAAATGTGGGAATGTTGGACAGTAGGTCAAAAGGTTCAAGGTTCAAACATTTTTCAGGGCCATTGGTTGCTTTCCTACACCAGACACCTTACTCTTACAATGCCTTTGTTTTTCAAGGAGTGTCAATGCGCATCCAACCCNCAAGTTATAAATCACAATAATATTCTTTTAAGAGATGACTGTTTCAGCTCTTTTGACTGTTACCCAAAGTGCAGTTACCTTGTTGATCAACCTACACTGTACCAAATTTAAATTTAAAGGTTAATGCCATTTTTAGTTGTATTTCAATTTTTTGATGTATAGTGTTGCTGTGGGTAGTGACAACAAGTATTTACATCACTGTTTAACACCTGAATACTTTTCTTCTAAAGGTCGCAAGACTGGCTGTTCTAAGGGTAAGGGAGGTTCTATGCACATGTATGGCCATGAATATTATGGAGGAAATGGAATTGTTGGAGCTCAGGTGAGTCTGCCGGTTATCTACCAGTTCATTACTAGTTAGCATTTCATTATTCATTTCTTTGCTTTTAAGTAATAATATTATAATATACTCTCTCAGGTTCCGGTAGGTGCAGGAATCGCCCTTGCTCACCAATACAGAGGCAATGGGCAAATATGTGTTACCCTATATGGGGATGGAGCCGCTAACCAAGGGCAGGTAAGAAACTACACACACCAACTGTTATAGTGGTTGGTGTTGTAGCCTAATGGTTAGTGCAGTGGCCTAAATGTTAGGATGTTGGACAGTAGGTCAAAAGGTTCAAGGTTCAAAATTTTTCAGGGCCATTGGTTGTTTTCCTACACCAGACACCTTACTCTTACAATGCCTTTGTTTTTCAAGGAGTGTCAATGCGCATCCAACCCNAAAGGTTGTTCACGTCAATTAACTGTTGACACCATTCCATTAATGGCTGCTCAATTGTAATATGCTTTGTCTTGAAGGTGTTTGAAACCTACAATATGGCCAAATTGTGGAATCTTCCATGCATCTTTGTGTGTGAGAATAACGGATATGGTATGGGTACATCTGTTGAACGAGCTGCCGCCACTACTGAATACCACACGAGAGGAGATTACATTCCTGGAATCAAAGTATGTTGCAAAACTTGATCAAATGGCATCTTCCTGTTTTCCCTCCTTTCTCCTCATCCTCTTTCTACTCTTCCAGCTTTTTGTCCTTTCCCTCCTCAGCTCAACTGTGGTGAATTACTTGAATTCCAACTTTTCCGCCATTAAAATTAATTTATCCATGTCTGATCAAATGATTGAGCAGTTGCAAGCAGAGGTTCCCTCTTATTTCTCTGTGAGCAGAGAGAGAAAGGATTTTTGGGTGAAGTCTTGAACAAGAGGTTTACATTCTAGGTCTGGCATGGCAAAGCAATGCCTCACTCCCCCAGCTGAAAACTGTAATAATTTTTCAACTGATAGGTTGATGGCATGGATATCCTAACAGTGAGAGAAGCAACTAAATTTGCCGCAGATTATACCAGATCAGGAAAGGTAACCAGTGTATTGTTACATTGTTAAGAATTCAAAGCATTCTTTTGAGATTGGTCAGTTTGACCAGACTAACATGTTTTAAGACAATAGAACTGTGATGTCCCTTTTCCAGTTGCTTTTGACTGAGGCCCTGTAGAGCCTTTTCAGCCGGTAAATGGAAGTAACATATCAAACACGAAAGACCATATGTGACCAGATTTCCAAACACCGAGAAGAAAGTTGAAAATATGATGCGTAGGGGAGTATTTTTGACGAACTTCAAGGTGTTTGTGTTTGAAGAAATAAAATCGTAAAAATCTATCCTAATTAAGATCAGATATCCAGATATCTATTAATTCAATTCAATAAGTTTTTATGTTTATCAACGATTTCTTTTTCACTAGACCATGTTTAGTTTCCAGCCTGTCAAGAACTTGAGATTTGCTAAACTTTGAAGCAATGTGACTGGATTGTGTCAACTCGTATTCCAGTAAAATGTATTTTTTCTTGCAGGGCCCAATTTTGATGGAGCTGGCTACATACCGTTATTATGGGCACAGCATGAGTGACCCTGGTACAAGGTACTGAACAGTCAGTCAGAAGGCCCTCAGTTAGTCAGTCAGTCAGTCAGTAGGCCCTCAGTTAGTCAGTCAGTCTGTTTTCAGTTAGTCAGTTAGTCCAAGTTGGTCAGTCAGTCATTTGGTCAGCCCATTGTTGGTACAGTCAGTGAATTGGTCAGTCATTCAGTAAGTTAGTTGGTTAGTCAATTAGCCTGTCGGTCAGTCAGTCACTTTGACTCGGTCAGTCACTTTGAGTCAGTCAGTCATTTGGTCAGTTGGTCAGCCGATTGTTCGTTCGGTCAATTGCTTAGTTAGTCCGTTAGTTGGCCAGTCGATCAGTTAGATAGCCAGTTAGACAGTTAGTCCCTCCATTATACATCATTGCCTCCATCCATCTGTGACAAAGTTTAAATTATGTTTTTTTTTTTTCAATCTCTCATATAGTATCATAGATATCAGTTTTTCAGATGTAGCTGATCAATATCACAAATGCAGTAGGGAAAATAGCCATATATTTTACACGCATACATGGACATGTAAATTTTAATAACGAAACTGTTCAAAAAAGTACCCAAGAAATAATGCTTTTTTTTCCTACCGACAGCTACCGGTCACGTGATGAGGTGCAGTCCGTGCGTAAGACACGTGATCCAATCTTAGGTTTAAGAGAAAAACTGCTGGATTCAGGGCTTGCAGACACTGAGGACATCAAGGTATTGCAGTGTGTATATTGAGCTGATTGAGTTGGGGAACTTTTTAACCACGTTGGAAAAGGAGAGGATCAGTTTATCACTAGGAAAACATGAGATTGCTTCACTTCTTTTGAAGGAACAAATAACTGAGTGAGAAGAGTCTTGAATTTTAGGAAAACGTTGTTCAAATCCGAATTTCGATTTTTGACAATTAGAGTTTGATTTTGTCATGGGAACTTGATTCGTAAAAAGGGGAGAGAATCTGAGTTTTTAAAATTGGTTTGACTTCCAAAACTTACGTTCATTATAATTACATTGATTTCATATTTCTCAGGGTTGTACGGGTCATGAAAAACCTGAAAATTCACGGAATTGTATAATTTCATTTTCCAGACTTGCAAAGTCATGAAAGTGTGAGTCATGGAAGTCATGGAAAAGCAATACACTTTCCGAGAATAAAAATGCAAAATGATCAAAAGTTGAAAACATAACAGACGGGTTAGAAAACTGGTTTTAATTCCAGTGAAAAAATTATCACTAGCAGGCATTCTATGACGTCATAATGTGGGGAAAATACCTTACAATTGCTTAAAGGAGCTCAGTCACAGTATTTTAAGTTATTTTGGCCACATACAAAATTACCTTAAATGAATGGTAGGAAATCTGAAAATAACAGTTTAATGAGATAGAAAAACACCAAAGAGATCATGATAAACCATAAAGGAACAAGGATGGCTAAGGATGGAGAAGATTAACACGGATTGCAAACGACGAATTTGAAAAATTGAGGCTAAACTTTTCAATATGCGCAAACCGTGACTGAGCTCCTTTAACATAGGTCATGGAAAACTCAGAAAGGTCATGGAAAGTCGTGAAATTTTAAAACTTCAAAATAGCATGAAATCAAACGGTACCGTTGAAGAAAAGCAGTGCAGTTTCGATACTTGAAGACGTGTAATTGTTCTTCTCTTGCAGCGTATCGAACAAGAAGCCAAACAAGAGATCGAAGAGGCTGTGAAGGCAGCGGAGGCCGATCCCGACCCTACCCTGGACGATCTGTACCTGGACTTGTACGCGGATGATAACATGGAGGGTCACGTGGTCCGTGGCTGTGATAACTGGTCTAGGCACGCTACCAATTAGATGGTATCTTTTTAAAAACTCCATACGGGCGAAGATCCTGGAAATAACGAATTTCAGCTCGGATTTTTCAGTAGCTATCGTCTTTTATAAATTATCTGAGTTTTGTCCAGAGGGGATCCGAAATCATGTAATTTTATTGGTTGAAAAAGGTATATCAAAACTCGCTTATAACAGAGCTGGCTTCGATCCAACCAGGAAAATATAAACAACTCAGTTTTGTTTTGTGAAGACCCGATAACAACATGGAAGCCTTTTTTGTTAGTTTATAGCAGTAGACAAAACAAAAGACAGAACAAGGAATGTGAGTAATCTGGTGTTTTGAATCGAACCTTTCACTTTCTAAGCGACTGCCCTGGACTTTGGTCAAAACTACATTCCGCACAAAGTGAATAAGGCTATTGTAGCTCCGAGTACTTGTAACTGTAGCGTGTTTATATACTGTGAAGGCGCATATACGAGTGACAGCGCGATGTCGTTCATCGCGTCTTATCTGGGGCTTGTTTATAACGGGTAATCGGCGATCACCATGTACTGATAATAACAGAGACGTACTACCCAATAGAAACTGACATAAATTAGTGTGTTTATTATCAAGAAATGATATTTATTCGTTGTTTTTGTTTCTTTTTCTTTAAGATACACAAACCACGCGACTTTTGAATTCTAAACCCAATAAGCCATTTCTGTGTTGCTTTTTTCCTCTATTTCAAAACGGATCTTAGTGAGTTTTTCTTGCCCGCTCATTGTCTTGCATATCAAATTCATTTCCAAATGAAAGGTTGGGCACCCGGATCAGGTAAAAAGTAACTCGGAAATGGTTGATTGCAGTTCATGTGAGAGGGGATTTGCGCCAACCCCTCCCCCCTCTTTTTTGCGAGTTATTGAACTGAGACGGAGTCGAGGTCCATAAACACGCAAAAAAAAAAAAAAAAAAAAGAATGTGGCCAATATCAAGCTATCTTGACCGAATAAAGGAAAAGAACACCATTTTCTTGCGGGACAGTGAGTGGGTAATCCCGACCGGACAAGAAATCGCTTCCTGTTCGCTTGGGTAGCCAACCACAGCGCATGATTTGGCTCTTTTGCCCGCGCGCGCAACATATCCCATCTGTTTATGTCAGTGGTTTTTTTTTTTATTTCGCGGGATCAAAAAAGATATTTCATTCCATATGCAGTTTTAGTTCTGTAACAACAGTTTTTGCCTCTCCTCATTATCTAGGAATTTAGTTTCCATGTACCAATTTTGCAACAGCAGGTTTGTCAAAGTTTTTCGTGACCTGCTAGAATCCATACAACAGTCGGAACTCGGACATAATTTGTTCAGTCTCTACAATACAGCAGCTAAGGGGCGGGTCTTGAGGGAAGCTGCAAGGGGTGTGCCTGCCCCCCCCCCCCACCCCCTCCTCCTGAGATGAAGCATTTCAAAATTTGTTTACTCCACCAGTCAGTTACGCCATTCCTTACCATTCCTTAGTGGTGCACCCCTCTAAGAAAAATCCTGGATTCACCCCTGAGCTCACGACTTTACTACTTTACCTTTGGGAGAACAATAAAACAAACAGCAGAAACAATGCCCCTAGACCCAAAACAATTACAGCAGCTGCAATGACGACAAATAGAATTACAAGCTTGCGAGAGCTGCCACACTTATGAATAGAATTACAACCTTACGAGAGCTTATGAATTTGAGACATGCCGAAGAATCTAAAAGCAAAACTGTAAAGCTTTCAGTATTCACCAAAACGTTTCCACAGCTGTTTTTGTTCCAGTATCTCTTCATAGATTTATATAAAAGTTATAGTTGTAAGTACAGAATGCTCCTCCGTGAGACAAAAAAAGAACAAAGTCCTTCAGATTTTCACCGGGTTTAGACGAGAAAGCCCGTGACCAAATACCCAGTGTTGGAAAAAAAACATGAAGAGAGGGCGTTTTAGTTTATCTACAAAATTTTGTTCCTATCTCAATATTACAGCAGCTAAATTTAATCAAACGAGGAAACACCCACATGGTGAATTTTCAACAGCCTTGTATCACAGTTTTGTGGATATCCGAGCGCGCATCAAATGACAAAACGTTTTTCTATACTTTGTAGTTTATTATTCGTTTGTTTGTTCTTTTTGTTTTCTTGTTTTTCTTTAACTTTTTTTGTACAAGAAAAAACTTTGACCAAGTTAGAAAGGTCTTTTCACCTGATTTGAGACAAAATCTTTATGTGAGTAAGTAAATAACAAAGGAAAAAAGGCGAGAGGAAATGTTTCGCATGGAAAGACAACTGTACTGTTGACAAAAACCACGTCAAGTTTTAGCCAGTTCCTGAAGTAGTTTCATCTTGGAGATGCACATTTGTCGCTAGCCTTTTTTAAGGGTTTTTTTTTTCTTCCATCTGAATTCTGCTAACGTTTGTCCATGTCGTTTTTTTTAATGTGCATATCAGATCAGTGGATGTGTTTACTTCATATATACAGGAGTGGGCAAATTAAATGCCAATATTGGTCGAAAAGTATGAGATATTGAATTGCTTATCTAAGATTTTAAGCTAAATCAAAAATTTATAAGCAGAAAAGCCGGAAAGAAAACACTATGCACGTATCGACAGAGATAAGCACGGTTTTGATAACGAAACTTAAACGTATAAATCTAGATACCTTAAATCGCAAAAGTAAAATAAAAGATAACAAAATTGAATTTTCTTAACCTTCAGGTGCATATGGTCGCTTCTATGAAGCTTTGGTCTTTGATCTTATATTGAACAAAGTTTACAATTAATTTTTTGGTGTAAGTTTTTTTTTTCCTTTTAATTTCAAGTCAGTCTGTTTTGAAAGTTCATGACTTTAATTTCTTATTATCTCATATCTATGTTGATAATATGTTTCGGCCGTTGTTGTTTTAAAAATGATGCAAATATTCGAAAATATTTAATTGGCCTCGCGAACGTTCGTCCTGTCACGAAGCCCGGAGCAACGGCTTATGTAAAAGAAAAGTTTTTTTCTGATCACGAAACTCTATTAATGGGATTACAAAAAAATTACCTTGTAGCGAGGAAAAGCAGCGTTATCAACATATATGGGAGAAATATTTCAAGTTCCCTTCATTAAACAAATTCATCGTATATAGCCATGTCCCACAAAATATCGTATATATGATAATCAGGTATAGCAAAGAGGACTCTCTCGTTATTCACATACAGACTATTTTATTTTGCACATTTTACGCTAAGAAAGCGTTTTAAGTATAATATAATGTTTCTCCAGCTAAGAAACAATGATTTGTGACCGATAAATTATCTTAAGTGCAACACTTACGTGAAGAGGTCAGTAAAATTACATCTTATACTAATGATGCGTGGGCTTAAGCTGTATCAGGCTAACACGCTGAGCAAAGAAACCCATCATTTACAGGAAAAAGCTTCTTTTTTTTCTCACTTGCCACCGTAAATTCAACTTGAGTTCTGGTGTCAGGAGGCGGAAAGACAAGGCTTATATCACCTTATAAGAGCTGTTTAAATCGTTACCAAATTACGGCCGAGTGATAGTATAGCTAACCAAATTTTCCACGGTTTGTCTTTATTGTAGAATGCCAAGGCTTGCAATGCATGGGTCTGAATGATACTGCCTGATAACCGCTTGCTTGTCCGTTTGTAGTAGCGTAGCCGGCACAGATAGATGAGTTAGAGGCCTTTTAGTTCCAAATACTCCTAAAGCTGCCGCTTTATATCTCTCCTCGTATGATTTGGCCTGTTCACCCTCGCGTTCATAAGTGATTAAAATTTCAGGCGTCAAAAAAGACATGTTTTTTCTCCTACATGTAACATTTCGTGGGTGCGTTGTATTGTTCACGCCTTCATTCATCTGACTCTCTCTTAAAGCATTCGGTATCTCTCCTTCACTCTTTGAACAAAGCATTCTTCAGCATTTTCGATGCAAGATGTGAACGAAAAATCAGTGCCGTCTCGACAAATATTCACCTGCGTTAGAGCTAAGCCTCAAGCGAAATGGCCGACGAAACAGACCTACACACACAGCCCGTTGATGAGAAGTATCCTAACAACCCTGCAACTGCCGATGAATGGAAGTGAGGAGAGTTTCTATTTATAAGCATCAACATGGACAATACACATTACAATTCATAACAAAAAGCGTCTGTTCGCTTGCGAAAACTCACGATCATTTGACGATCTCACCCGAGTTTGTGACGTAGGTCTTCCGAGTGACGTCGACATCGACGCACGAATGCCAATCGGTGTTGAGAGCGATCCTATGGCGTTTCGTTGAATTTATACCGTCACATCCTTCTTTCATGCAAATACCTTACGGTTTTAATGACATGTCTCGGCTATTGTTCCTTATTTTTACTTGGGCGTAATCTAAAAATTTCCGAGCGGATTGTACACAACAACGTCAAATTGTAAATACAGCTTGAATCGGCTTAAAAGAAACGGTTATATCATATGCATGCGAGAAACGTGTATTTGTTAACATTTGCCTGTAGTCCTGTCAAAATATTGTGTTTGTAGCATGTTGAGGTCTGTCGAAGTTGGCACTCGAGCCAATCACGTCAACTGTCCAGTTGAAAACAAATATAATCTTTGTCGATCTAGAGATGACATAATTTTCCCAACATTCAAATGCATGTAATCATACCAAAAGGAAGCAAAACCCAAACTTGATTTCAAACTTCGTCAGAAACTAATGCACTTATCTTTCATGAAGTTCTTGCGTTCAGAGGACTCCCCGTGGCCTGAAATGCTGTCAACATATCTATTTGTGTTTTCGTTTATTTCAACAATAATCTTATATTTTTCAACCGAAAAGAATTCTGAGTTACATTCTAACTGAAGAAGCAAAACGAAGACATTGGTTTTGTGTTTCTTTTAAAGCCAAAGAGAGATAAGAAATCAGAACAATATGCAGGTCAGGTAAAAGGTTTTTAATGGATAGGATTAATTCCGAGACCAATATCTGAAACGATAACTCAACGCACTGGTCAATATGGTATTTGTCACAGGACGAGGAATAACATACAACATCGTTGTAGGCGTTTAAATTTGAAAACAAAAAGGGCGATGACATGTGAATTATTATGCATTTGTCACGGTTTCACATACTGAACTTATTGCCTGGAAATGAGCGTATCTACTGTTAAGTGTCAAAGAAATGTATGCGGTTAGTTTTGTGCTAGCAAACCATGATCACTCAGTTTAAAAATATTTTTATGTGAGGTTTTGTAAACCACCTGTCTTCGTTGCGGTAATAAATTGGGAGTTTATCATCAGATAAGTTCTGAATTTTAAAGCCATTTTCTTGAGAGTAAAACCTAGCGGTTTGCAACGGTAATATTTCAATCTCAGTATTTGAGATTCAACTCTCGGTCTCTTTTCTCCGAGGCACCGCAGCAATTCTTAGTGTAGTCTAAACAGGGTCAATTGTGGTCGTTTTACGCCATATGCAAATTTAGAGCTGTCATGTTGTTTTTCCGAATCCTTTTTCCTCATGATCGTTCTCTTTCGTAATTAAATTCATCCTGAGTCGTTTATGATACGTCGGTCTTGAGAAAGGAATAGAAAGATAAAGAGTTAATGACGAAATCCGGAGCTCGTGGAAGATCGCGTCATCTGTAGATTTTGCATTCGCGTCAGATAGTAAATACAGTTTCACGCTGAGTTCACCGAGTCGAGGAAAGGAAACGATACGATTGTTTGCCACGAGAAGTAGAAATATAACACCTAATGCTTTCGTGATCTTATACCGTCACCTCTTAAGCTGAAACGGATGCAAAATTACATTACATCTCACAGACAATGAAATGCATTCGAAATGAAGAGATATCTTATCGTGTGCTTTGTTCACCTCACAATCTATTTCCAGCTCCTATACTCCATTTTTATCAAAGTAGCTCATCTATTTTTAGAGGAACCTAATTCTAGCAGGCCAGATATTTCTCGAAACACAAATAAAACCTCTTCGGGGGCGTCAAGCAGCAGAATAGGCTGACTTCAAGGAAACTCGACTGAAAACAGTTTTGTTCGAATCAGATTCGAATTAGCAAAATAGTACCCATCGATCGTTAGAACAGTGGACTAACGAATAAGACAGGGATTGGATCTTCGATGTTATAAAGCAGTTGAAGCAAATGAAATTAAAAACCGAGGAGAAAATAATATTTCAAGTGAAATGCGCCGAGTCTAAATATTCGCAGTTCGCAGATCTCGAATTCGGACTTACATACATCATCACAAAATAACTGGAATCCTCATTTCTTTGATAGTATTCAAATGAAGCACGAAAAGATTTTGAGACAACTTTTGCTCATCTCGACACTGCGAAAGCATCTTTAACAGCGTTCACTGGTCAGTTTGTGGCGGGAATGTCATAGTTTATTATATGTTTCCCTGGGCTTTACTAGAAATAGTAACTAGTCATGTAGTTATTTGTCGTATGTAATCTGGGATACTAGAAAACGCTAGGAAACAAAGCCAGGCCTTCTTTTAACCTCTCCCCTACAACCTACAACCTTTAAAATAAGCTAAGCTCCCACTCTACTAAAAAATTTCTTTTTCAAACTGATTCTCTGACAGGTCGAGCCGTGAGGTCGTTTGCTCTCATTAACCGATAGGGCGAGATCGAAGCGTTCCTATTTTTGGTCCCCTATTTCCGGCGGAAGTGGTAAGAAAATTTAACCCATTGACGCCTGTGGAGGCCGTAACCAGCCGAGATCGACGAACGTTGGCCTTTGTTCCACTTCTGACGTCATCACCTTAGACCAAAATTGGCATCACCTATACTCAAGTTCTGCAGCAGGAATAGTTCTTTCCAGTCATACCCAGATCAGAGTGATTAGGCCAACTGAACATGAAATATGCCCAAAACTGCTTAGAAATTAGAGTGATAAACTCGGAGCAAACTTTCCCACTACTACTCTTGGTTACTACCTGCTAAGAATTTCCCGTCTCGATGATGCTTTCTCGGGAATTCTTCAACTGGAAGCAAGCTCAGTAGAAGGTCAACAACTGCAGCAAAAAGATAAGAAAAAAGAAAAAGGAAAGGCGAGAGAAAAAATAAATGCGGGTTTATTTCCAAGAAAGGATCGCTTAAATATTAAATGTCTGTGTGCCTTCTCATCCCTCCCCTCCGACATCATCAACAATCTAATCCTTAACGTGCCAAAAAATGGTATTTTGGTCCCGTTTTTCCCTATTTTAGACCTGATATGTGTCTGCATGCACTCATATGTTGCTCGCATGTACTCGTATGTTACTCGTATGTACTCGCATGTTACTCGTATGTACTCGCATGCTACTCGTATGTACTCGCATGTTACTCATATGTACTCGCATGCTACTCGTATGTAGGTGTGGTGTTTTAGTCACGATCAAGTCTCAAAGAGTATTTATTGCTTCGGCTATTGTTTAGCTAAACAAAGAAGTGCATGCATGATAAATGTTGAGGTCATACGGAAATCTTGCTTATTAAATGTTTTTTTTTCTTGTGCGGTTTTTGTGGTTACTGGCGAAAGCCGGTCACCACTTTGTCATCAGGTGTGCAATTACGACAGTCCGTGACTTTCGGAAGTTTTCGGGGCGAACTCTTTGATACCGAACTACCTCGAGATTTACTCGAGTTCTTTTAATCGATTTTCTCCTTTAAAACGCGAATTGCNTGTGTATTGAGCACTATTTTAATGGGATCTGCTACTTCCTCATATGGTTATAATTAATTAATTAATTAATTAACAATTACACTACTTACAAAAAAGTGCAGTACACTACTTACACTACTTACAACCCAATATTACATTTTTTGTTTTGTTTTGTTTTGTTACAGTTTATGATTGTCAGAAATTTCAAGTAAAAAATTCAATGTTAACTAGCCGACACATGGTGCTACAAATGTCCACGGTGACAGAGACTAAATGAAACCCAATTTAGATGTGTTTGAACGAAAGACAACGCAAACATTATTGTGTTGGTGTCCTATGTACATGCTGGGTGTACTGTGCAGCACAGGGGAAATGCTCTGCTCGAAGCAAATTTAACTGACCCAAAGATTACTTCAGGAGCTGTGGTCTTGCTTTCATAATTTGCTGATGAAGAGGAGAAAACCCTGGGAAGCTGACGCCAGCTTTTTCATGCTGGATATAATTTACTGGTCACTAAGACTTCACTTGAGACTGGTGAAATCTGTTCTAAAGGCTTTATTTCAGATCTGGGAGGTTTTGTTATTTTTCAGGGGGATATCGATGGTGCCTACTGTTCTTCCATTGCAGATTTAAGTTTCCTCAATCAAGCGTCCCCCCTCCCCTCCCCTCCCAGAATAGCTGCCCCTGGGCTATTTAACTATTTCTCTTCATAGAATTTTCTGAGTGAAGACTAACAATTTGAGTGTAATAAAATAGGTCCTTTGTAGCTAAACCATAATGTGACCTACTTTTCATAAGATTATGGGCTATAACATCCCAGAAATGGAAAAAGCATGTCGAAAATATCAAAATGGCCAAGTTTGAGGCCCCTGGCATTAAAGAATGAGATTTTATGATGGTTTGAATTTTTACAAAATAAAGAACATTTGTATGGAAAAACTTGTTGGAGAGCATAGACCTTGCTCTCAGGCAACATTTTCCATAGATATCCTCTGAATTTCCCGAAACTTGACACTGTCATAAAAATTTACTCTCTAATGCCAGGGGCCTCAAACTTGGCCATTCTGGTATTTTTGATAGGTTCTTTCCATTTCTGGCATTCTTTAAGTTAATTAGCCTATAATATATTTCTTAAGGAAAAATTTGGTCACGTGACCCCAGCTGCAAAGGGCCTGCTGATAGGATCAGCTTTATCAAAGCTAAGGTCATTGTGTGTTGAAGAGAGTAGAACGTTTCAAGGATTCACACTCTTCCTAGAAGGTTAGTATTTTCATTGATCACTGTTTGCTGATGTGAGCGTGTTTCTTCAGACGATGATGGTGGTGTAGAGCTTGGTTGTTTCTTGCATTGCTGGAGGAAGCCACAGGTAGCCCTTTGTAGATGAGTTCGGAATTTTTCAGTGAAAAGACAAAACAGCAAGAAGTTGGCAAAGCCTTGGCTACTGTCACCCATTCCCTATTAAAAGCAAATTGAAAAACTAAACGTGTCAGGCCATACTACAACAAATTATTCATTATAAAATTTATTATTATCACTATTATTATTATTATTATTATTATTAT